CTCAAAGTCTTACTCACTGAGAGCAGATTTCAAGCTCGAGTCAAGTTCATAGGCAACAAAGGGAGCCAAGACTTAATCAGGTATCTTTCATTTGTAAGAGATATCATATCTAGTAAAGTTAGACATGATAACAAAGTAACTCAGGTAGTTAAACAAAGCATGTTAATGAGATATAACACGGAACGAGGATTTGGGTGAAGTAACAGATAAGATAGCAAGTTTAGGAAAGGGGAATCAAACAGAATCGAGTCCGAGAAAGGGTAATAGAAAGGTCACTTTTTCAGGTTCAAAGTTACAACTAGATCAAAAAACTGCATCTCAAGATCGGAAGAGGGAAGACCAAGTCTTAGAGAACATACAGAACAAATAAGTTGAAAGTATCAAAAGAAGTCTAAAAATCAAAAAGGTTGTGAAAGTCTAAAATTCAAGATAAAGGATTGATAAGAAAGTTTGAAAGAGGAAGTTAGAAAGAGGTTAGAATCGAATGGATTGTAGTCAGATATATGAAAGGGATAAGCCAAGACTCACTCTGGTTCATATTTGAACGAGGGATTCAGATCGAATTCAAAAGATGACATAGGAAGACTGATTTCGGGGAATCTACTTAGAAAAGATAAAGAGAAAAGATGTTAGTAGAGTGCAAAATCAAAAAGCAAATCAGAAATGAACCTATAAGAATCACCTCTTGGCGTGCAAGATCAAGATTTGAGATCGAAAATAGGGTAGGACAATCAGATTGCAAGTGAGATGAGAGGTTGATGTGAAAGTTTTGAAGATCGAGGAAGATGAAATTGAGGTGGAGATCGAAGACAAAGAGTAAACTAGCAGGGAAGCGAGGATAAGAAAAGAGAATTGAGTTTGAGATGATGAGCAATGAAAGACACAGATAAGAGAAAGAAAGAGAAGGTACTAACATATTGCATAAATGATAAAGCGAATTTGAGAATGATCAGTCGGAGGAAGCGCAGTGGGGTTGAGGATGGAGGACGCGTCATGAGCTGAAATCGAGCAATCGAAAGGTATAAAGAGGGGGCTGTTTGAAGGGAAAGGAGGGGGATTCATCCGATTTTTGTGTGTCCGATCGTGTGTGTAGTTTTTTGTGTGTACGAATCAGATTGATTCAAAATAAGTGTAGTTCGAGTTATTTGTTTATTTATCGAAGCGTCCTTTGATCTAAAAGTGTGTGTAGTCGAGAGTTCGTTTAAGTTGTGCGTTCGAAGTATACAAAGAAAGAGTCCCAGTGTTGTTAGTATTGGTTCTATAGTTTTTTTTTTTTTTTGTTGTGATTGTGTTTAGCTGAGAAGGGAGAAAAGAATAGCGGCGTACCTGTTTATTTTAAAGGGAGTTAAGTTATAATTAAAGTGTTGTTGGAGTCTTTTTATTAGTGTTATTTTAAAAAGAAGGGTTACATTATAAAAGTCTCACCTCGAAATTTGGCCCTGAGCCTGAGTATCTTAAATTCTCCGGATAAAACCCCGCCGTCAATAAAACCCATCTCCCCCTCTTTACTACCTACATTTACATATTACAAACGTCACCCACCTGTGAAAGAGCTGTACAGCTCTGTGTGTAATACTGTTAGACTCCGCCAACCGCTGCGCATCCAACCATGTGGTGTAGATTAGGTTTTGGGAAAACCTTAAAAGACGAGAAGTGAAAAGTAGAGAAGTCTCGTCTTAAATTCGAAAGCAATTTCGAAGGACGAGGGCAGCTTCACAGCGCCTGTAGTTTCATCCGCTCTCTCGAGTGGTGATTCTTCCCCTCTCCGGCTCAGCCTACGCTACACTGCGTAGGAGTTCTACAGCGGCTAATTACCCCATTATATAATGAGGACACATATACCTGGCCTGGGCAGTAGTAGCTTCCCACTTAGGCAATTGGAGTCCGGTAGTATGATCAGTTTGAAAGCAGTGAATTGTGTGGGGTCCTGAAAACAAAGCCAAGGGAGAGTGTGTCAAAGTATCCAGAATACCATGACTATGTTTGATAGTTCGATGCTGAATGTTGATTGCAATGAGAACAATTTTATATTATTTTGCAGATCAACCACTTTGACCAGTTCATTGATTTCTTTCCAAGTCAGTGGGAGTTATACACCTGATTGAATTGCTCTTTGACATCCAGGACATGGTTTACATTTCTTGTAAACATATTGATTTCCATAAAGCTTTGAGTTACTGTCATTGCCACTTGTATAAGTGCCATTTAACCATCTACAAACATAGCTGTGTTTGATACCCATGCTTTAAACATAAGTAATAAAGAAACATGATCAGAATATGATAGATAAGACCATTGGTCCAATGAGTAAGAACAATATACCTGATTG